TATTCTTTTAGTTCCTGATCTTATAACAGCAAATATAAAACAAAAAACTGAAATTGGTATGCATGCACGTGAATTACTTGTACGTGGTGAAGCTGTTCCTGATCAAATGATTGCACGTATGTTACATATTAAAATGCATTCACCTGAAGTAGCACATCATGGTTCGTATAACAAAAATTAAATAAAATCTTATTGAAAATATTTTATTTTCTTTAAGGTTATATTTTGGATGGATTTCCATTAATGGATGAAAATTTAATGAAATTACGTGATCAAATGGAAACAATGAAAAATTGGCCATTACCACCTGATTATGTTATTAATATTCGTATACCTGATAATGATTTAATTAATAGACGACAAGAAGAAAAAATTGATCCTGTAACTGGTACATTATATATTAAAGAACAATATGCACCTACACCCGTCGAAAAAGTAGTAAGTTTTATAGAATTCAAAAAATATAAAACATAATAATAGCTAATCACAAGAAAATTATTTTGATTCAATCTATTTTTTGAGATATATTTCTTCACCATCCTTTTACAAGATAAAAAAAAAAGCGAAAATTGATTTTATTTAGACTGGTAAACAACAAACCGGTGGTGATGATGATGATGTAAGTGATATTGATGAAGATGCTGATAATGATGATGAAGAAGTAGAAGAAGAAGAACAAGTAACTGTATGTGCTCAATAACAAAATAAAATATCTATTGAAAAATTTGATAATATAATTTTTTTTTTTAAGGATGAATTTTTTTCACCCGTACCAACAGAAATTGTTGAACGATTAGTAATGCGACCTGAAGATTTAATGCCTGATGTTACTGATAGTATACAATTTTTTAAAGATCAATTATTAAGAATGCTTGAAGAATATATGGCTAGTTTACCACAATCATATTTAGTTGAATTAGATGGAAATATGTCACCAACAATTTTATTTGAACAATTACTTGAACGTCTTAATGCATATGCATTAAGACGTGCAGCACTTGTTCAAAGATTTTTTCCACCAGAAGAAGAAGAAGAAGAAATTCCACAAGAAACAAATGAAATGGGTAATAGTTAAATTAAGATAGATTAATAAGAAAAAAAAAAAAAAAAAAGAAAAATTTTTTTATCATAGATAATGAAGAAGAAGAAGGTGAAAAAGCTATTCGTGGTGATGCTCTTCGTGCTGAAGAAACTCCACCAGCTGATGAAATGGAAACTGAAGAATTAATGGCTTCATTAACTGGTTCAAATGTTCTTTCAAATAAATATAAATGGCAAAGAAGTCGATGGTTACGTCTTGATCCAGTTGCTCTTAAACAAGGAAATCGTATACCTGGTCGACAAGATTTAGCTGTTCAGTATGTTAATCTTTATATCTTATATAAATCTATTTACAAAAAAAAAATATTTCCTTTTTTAGTTTTATGGATAAAATATTCGTTCTTTCAAGTAAAGAATCATTAAAAGAATTTCAAAAAAATCCTCGCCGATATATAATTCAACCACGTGCACCATGTAAACTTTTTCTCTATGGTCCTCGATCTTCTGGTATTGAACAATTAGCACAAGATATTGGTAAAAAATATAATGCAACAGTAAGTTATAAAAATTAAATAAAAATTAAATGAAAACATTTTTTTTTTCAAACCAAAAAAAAAAAAAGGTTATTGATATGGTATCATACGCTCAACCAAAAATGGATGAACTTCGTCAACAATATATTGATACTATAAAAAATGAAGTTCAACGAGCAACTATTGACAAATTACAACTACAAGCTGATACTGAAGCTGCTGGTATGAATAAATATAAATATAAAAAAAATATTTTCATTCTTTGTTTTTTTTTTAGAAAAAGCTCAAGAAGCAACAACATCGAAAACTGAAGATAAAATAGATGAAGAACCGGAACCATTAACTAGAGAAGATAATGAAACAACAACTGATCCAAATGATTTCGAACAAACAGAAAAAGCTACAAATCCTGACGAAGACGAACAACAACCACAAACATCAGCCGAACGCTCGTCACCACCGCCCACAGAACGTTCATCACCGCCGCCAGCCGAACGTTCACCACCACCTACCGAACGTTCATCACCACCACCAGCTGAACGTTCGTCGCGACCATCAAGTGCGCTTTCACAACCACCAGCTGAACGTTCGTCACGACCATCAAGTGCGCGTTCACCACCACCAGCGTCTACTGAAGTACCTCGAGAAGATCTTCGTGGTTTAGGTCCTGAAGATGAAAAAACACAAGTTGAACCTATCGGACAAATAACAGCTGATCATCCTGAAGTAAAAAAAGCTGTTGAACAAGCAATTGAAGAAGCACGTAATGCAGCTGTTAATATACCAGCTGATGTTTATACTGAATTAATGTGTAAAGCTATACAAAATATTGAACAAGAACAACGAGAAAAAAATCCTAATGGACCTTTGTAAATAAATTTTGAATTCTTGTTTTCTTTTTATTTCTTTTTGTTTTTTCAAAGATTTGGTAATTGGATATTTGTTAATTTTCCATATGATAATGAAATTTTGACATTATTAAATGAAAAAAATATTCATCCAGATGATGTTCTTGTTTTACAAGATAGTCATCCACAATTAGAAGCATTACAAAAACGTTGGTATAAAGCAAATCGATTTGAAGTTGATAAAGAAATTCGTGAACGTGAAGAACGTGAAGCAAATGAAAGACGAATTCGAGATGAAGAACAAAAGTATAATAAAAATTAAGACAATAGAAAAAAAAAGATTTCAACGTTTTTTTTTAATGTTTTATAGACGACGAATGGAAGAAATGAAATTAATTGCTGAACAAGAACGGAATGAACGTTTAGCTGAACGGCAAAGAAAAATTGATGCTGGTGAACCAGTTGATGATGAAGATGAAACAGATGAAAAAGGTTTTAGAATCAATTTAGATTCGTTTGTTTTTTTTTATGGTTTATTTTTTATATAGAAATGGAACAAGCTATACTTGAAGATCGAAATTATGAACCAAAAAAAGAAGATTTTATTGATAAAATTCCAGAAACAATACCAGAAGGTAATTTTTATTTTTTAGATTAAGATAATCATCTAATGACAGGAGAAAATTTAATATACTGGATGAGCTGGGATATAAGTGTGCAAGACTCATCTGATCACTCGCATCCTTCAAACATATTTCTTTGAAAAAGCGAGAAAAAAACCAAAGGAATAAAAATTGAATTTATTATTAATTTGATTTTTTTTACGACTTTTTGAAGCTATGTTGTTATTTATTTGTATAAAGCTGGAAATCTATTTACCGTGGATTACTTTTTAAAAAAAAAGATTCATTTCGGTGAGTGATATATGGTTAGTAGAGGCTTGTAAATTGGTCATCCCAGTGTTGAAAAATAAATAGTTTTGCAACTTATGACAATCATATATACTGACTTTTATAAATAATTTCTATGTTTTCTTTTTCTTAAGAGGATGAATCAATGAGTAAAGACCTTGATAAAGACAAATCAAGTAGTATGTATTAATAAGATCTTTTTGTTTTGTTTTGTTACTATCTAATAAAATCATCAAATAAATAGTTGCTTCAGGTCTTGATCTTAATCGTGCTCCACCATCAATATCTCCGATACCATTTGATCAAGAAATTTTACCACCAGCTGGTATTGAACAAGAAACATTTATTCAACAAGCTCGTAATGATATAACACGTATAAATGATTTAATGAAAACAGTATCAAGTGTATATAATCTTGAACCAATTTATATTGAATTAATGAAAGAAGATGGAGAAAAATTAAAAACAAATGAAGAATTATTTCAAGAAGCCTATGATGCACTTGAAAGTAGATTTTACAATAAATGTTTTTTTTTTGTGTTTGTTCTATTTGAAATTTTCTTGTAGAACAATTTAAATATATTCCACTTGAACATGAAAATAATGAAGAAGATGTTGATGAAGAAGAAGAAACTGGAAATGAAGATGAAGAAGGTGATAATGAAGAAGAAGAAGAAGAAGTTGTTGATTTATTTAAAAGTGATCGTAAAAAACATCTTGGTGATACAAGTATCTATGATCCTGTTGCATTATTCGAGAAAAATATTCTCGTACCTGGAAAACCAGATTTTACTGTTTCATATAAATCTAAAACATATCGTTTTGCTAATGAAGATAATCGAAGTTTATTCTTACAAACACCACTTAAATATCTACCAATCGATAAACCACCAACAGTAATTATATTGACTTTTGTTTTTATAAAAAAAAAAAATCAATTCTATAACTAATATGGATCGACTAACATCTAGTTCAGATAAAATAAGCAACAGAACTGTTCGAATCGATCAGATCCTATAACAAGATCTGCTCCAACAGTTCAGTTCCTAGAATTGACCTATTTGGAAAATTTTGTTCTGTTTTGGAAACAGCATTTCAGTAACAGAACAAAGATTTTTTGCACCAGGAAATGTTCATTTCAAAAACGAAACAAGAGTTTTGAATACCTGGAAGTGCTGTTCCTAATATTGGAACAAAGGTTTTACATATCCGGGAGTGTCATTTCCAAAACAGAATAAAGGTTACGTATATCTGTAAGTGCTATTCCCAAAAATAGAACATAGGTTACATATACCAGGAAGTATCATTCCCAAAAAACAGAACAAAGGTTTAATACACCCGAAAGTATTATTCGACTTGTTCAAATGTAAAGGTGTTACGTTTTTGACACACTTTTTTTCAATTATCTCGAAAGATTTGAGAACTTGGAAGTTTGTTCAAACTCTATTCGGCACAGCTTATCGGACTCTATTTATACTATAAAAATGACTTTTTTCGGCCGAAGTCTCGAGCTTTTAGAAAGATTTTATCATCAAGTAAAAGTACTGCATAAAAAGATCCTTTTTCTCTAATGTCGAAGCAAAGAAACAAACATAACATTACTATGCACTTTTTTTGCGACAGTTTACATGCTCGGAAATATTTGATTTTCATAAATATTAATATATCTAATCGTTCTACGCAAGAATCAAATTGCTACATCAAAACGAAAGCTTATAAACCATAATATATCACTCAGCATTTTTTAAAAAACTTTCTCGAGTTAAGAAATTCGAAATTCAATTTTTTTTAAAGAACAAATGTCAAATTCGTAATTAGCGTGAAAAATTGCACCTAAAAATGAATTCAGATCTATCTAACTCGAAAAAATTTTTTTAAAAACTTTATCAGTAAAGTATCGCATTATACATGGACAAGTCGTATTCCCAAAAATTGTTTGGATAGATTAGTTCCAGGAATTGATCTAAACTTATCGATTTCTAATAATTGATTTTTTTTTTGATTAGCTACCTGCTATGCGTCTGGTTCTTGTTGGACCTGAAGGTGCTGGTAAAAGTTTACATGGACGTGAATTAGCTATTAAATATAATACATTTCATATAAAATTTCGTGATCGTTTACAAGAATTAATTATTGGTAAAACGAAAATGAAAATTGGACCGGAATATAATGAAACACGAGATGAACCTGATCCGTAAGAATCGAACAAAACAAAAAACGTTAAATTTAAAATTTTGTTATATTTCTTTTTTTTTTTTTTTGTTAGAGAAGAAGAAGAACAAAAAGCAGACAAACCAATTGACGAAGTAAAAGAAAAATTGAAATTTGAGAAAAAAAAAAACAAATTTCTAATGATTTTGATATTTCTTTTTGTTTAGACTGAAGAATTAACAGCTGACGAAGAAAATATCAAAGCATATTTACAAGATGGTGAACCATTAGCACCTGAAATTCTCGATAAAATTGTTAAACCATGGTGGACAGAAGAACCATATCGTTCACGTGGTATTGTTCTTGAAGGTTTTCCATCAACAGAAGATGAAACTGTTTATATGATTGATAATCAATTATTACCTGATATTGCTATACAACTTGATGCCGAAAATAACGATATATTAAAAAGAATATTACCAAAACGTATGGAACAATGGCGAACAAAAATGCAATTAAGAAAAGAAAAACGAATGAAAAATAAAGCAAAAAAAGATCGAGATAAGGTTTGACAAAAACAAAAAAAAAAACTGTTAATTTTTGAAAGTTTCTTTTTATTTTTCTTTCGTAGAAAAAAGCTACAGATGAACGACGAGCTGAATTAATTCTTGAACGAGACAAACGTATTGAAGCGGTAAGAAGATAATCAATATAATCAAAAATAAAATCAATATTGTTTACTTTAGGGTGAAACAGTTGAAGAAGATGAAATCGAACAAATACTAGCTAGTGAATTTCAAGTATATAAAATATGATTTCAAAATTTAACACACTCGAGTTTTTTTGTTTTTTTTCGTATAATTTATTATTTAGATCGATGAAGAAGAAGGTGATATAATACAAGATGAAGAAGATGCTGACACAGCAAAAGGTCGCATTGGTGAAATGATTGAACAACAAGCTAATGATGCAAAAGAAAAAATTGAAGGTGTTAAAGTATGTTCAATGAATTCTAATACAAAGAAGAAAATCAAAAAAAAAAATCTTTTTTTTTCTTAGAAAGTTTTTCAACAAGAATATGTTCCATTTGCAATTGTTAATGCATCAGATAAACCACGTTATGTTAAAAATCGTATTAGTAAAAAAATTGAACGATTTACAACATTACGTCAAAATGTATTCGAACGTGTTTATTCAATAAAATCTCAATTAGCACAACAATTAATCGATATAGGTTATTTACATTATTCAAAATTTGGAAAATTTTGTCCTGTATCTGTATGTAATTTCTATTTATTCATATGTATATATATATTTTTTTATTTTTGTTTTTTGTAAAAATATTTAGTTACATAATGGTGATTGTTTTCCACCGCCATATGGACCTGATAAAACTCCTTGTACAGTTATCTATCGAAAATATGTTTATTATTTAGCTGATGATGAAGCACGAAATGAATTTATTAAAAATCCATTATTTTATATTCGTCGACCACCACCAAAATCACTCATTCCAGTGAAAATTGCTATTGTTGGTCCACCAAAATCTGGCAAAACAACTGGTTTGTTTTTGAAATATAATTTAAAAGAAGTGTTGAAGTGAAAGAATGACTAGCTGTTCGGACGACACTGTAGAAGAAAAAAAAAAATTTTTTTTATCATTGTATAGAGCTCAGCTTATACTATTAGATAGAGTATATTTTCTTATATTAAAATCTTGAACAAGCATGATGTCCATCTAGATGCACACTGTATATCAATAACTACTTCCTTATTGCATTTCTTGAGGATCAAGTAAAAGTATGGTGAAGAAATGTGTTCTTCTCCTTGTGATTAACAAATGAAAATTGATTTTTGTTTTTATTTTTTTTGAATAGTTACCAAGCGTATCGTTCAAGAAATGGGATGTGTTCGTTTATCATTGGTAAGTTTAATTGATTAGATTAAATTTGTAATGAATAATATTTTATTAGGGTGATGGTATTCGATATATATTAGAAAAACAACGACAGACAATTCTTGGTAAAGAAATGCAAGAAATACTTATTAAAGGTAATGAAATATCACCTGAAATAGCAATTCGTTGTTTGGAAGTTGCACTTATGAATGCAAAATGTCAAACACGAGGGTATTAAAATTTCTAAAAAGAATCGAATTAATCAATTGATTGTTTCTTTTTTCTTAGTTTTATTCTTGATGGATTTCCTTTAACAAAAAAACATGTTGAATTACTTGTTGAAAAAGGTATTATTCCATTTAAATTATTTGAATTAGAATGTGATTTAACTGAATGTACAATACGAGCTATGAAAGATCGTACTGATCCAAAGTAATTTAATTATTTCTTTTTTTTATAAAGATTTTAATTTTATATTTTTCTTAGTCGTCAATTTCCATTACCTGATAGTCCAGAAGCAATATCATATAAAAATGCTATTTATCAAAATGAAATTTTACCTGTACGTCAATGGTATACAGAAGAACATAAAAATTGGATGAATATTAATGCTAAAAATAATAAATGGTTTATATGGGATAAAATCTTACAAGAAACATCAAATGTAACAAAAAAAATTCAAAATTATATTGAAAGAAAATCATTTAATAAAGCTGCTAGTATTGCTGATTTATGTATATCACCACAAGAATTATTAAATCGTTTGGGAGAATATGAACATTATTGTCCAGTATCATTAACATTACGTGATGAACTTGTTGATTGTTCAGCTACTACAAAAACTGATTATACTGCTGAATATAGAGGTAAATAGGAATGTTGCTTTTTTTTTTTGAAAAAGTAAATAGATGTGATTTTTATTAGAACTTTCGAAAGAAATAAATTGTGTCTTCATTGAAAAAATTAAATTTGTAATTAGACAAGAGAATTTCAAGAAAGATAAATTCCTTATGAAAAATCGAATAACGTCATTATTCATTCAATTGGACTTCTTGACAATAGTATGTTAGGTAGTGACGAATAGGTCGTAAACACGAATCATTTTTCAACTATTCTTAGTCTTCTCAAGTTCTATTTATAACACAAAATATAAGCTCAATCAACGTTCGATGTCTCAAGAGAGAAGCATTATTTGGAGCTGAAATTTTTAGAACATTCTAAGGACCATGAGACCTATCTATAGGCAAAATTTCAGGTTAAAATCCTGGAATTCGATTTTCTCATATGTACCCTGCTATAAGACGAAAATTCAGTAAAACGATCATAATTCGAGAAGGACAACGTATGAGAACGAATCACTTTAGGTTTCGTCTAATCTCATCGGTATAGATCCGATTCAAAATACCTATGATCCGTGCGATGTTCAAAACATATGTGTATACGGACCCTTTATTCTAACCGTATTTCCAGTTCATATGTATATTTGAGATAAATAAAAACCAAATCAGTTTAAAATATTAAGTTACGTAATTAGACACAAGCCACATTAGTCGTTTTTGATCCCGATTCCGTCGGAGCCGAGATCATCTTGCCCATACCTACAAATGACATGTCAAGGACTTCTAGGGTACTACATTGTTTATTTCAAAAAGCCTAGTATACATAAACAAATCTTTTACTTCAAATTTTGTTACTGTTTTTCTTTTTATTGAGTAATTCGATCGAAATTTTTTTTGAATAGGACGATATTATCGTATGGCTGGACCAAAAGAACTTCAACTATTTTTGGATGATCCTGAACGTTTTGCTCCAGTTGAACCTCGTAAAATACTTCCCGCACAAAATCGTCGACCACATCGACGAACTGAAGCAGAAGCAAAAGCGATGTTTCCAAAACCTATTGAATTTGCTAGTTATTGTCCAGTAACTTATCTTGATGGTGGTAAAAGGTAAATACGTAAAATTTTCAATAAACAAAAAAAAATGTTTTTTTTTTGTTTTTATCATTTTCAGATATGAATATCTTGTTCTTGGACAACAAGAATTTGCTGTTGAATATCGTGATAAATTATATTTTCTATTAAATGAAGAAGCACGAGAAAAATTTATGAGGTTTATTATTAATTATTTTTATTTATTAAATTTTTTCTCTTATTCTTTTCTTTTAGACAACCAGAAAAATATTGGAATATTCGATTACCAAATAAACTTCCTCCACCAAAAAATCCAATTGATTTACTTAATTTACCATGTCTTGGTTATTTAGAACAAACAATAGCAACAGCAATTATAAAAAGTTTAACAGCTACAGGATGTTTTAAACCAAAATTTCCATTTTTATCTATTCAAACATCAGCATTAATCTATATGGCATATCATCTTAAAGCTTATAATACAAAAAGTTCTGATTATATACGACGAAAATTTCGTAGAAAATTATATATATTTGAAGAACAATGTGAACTTATTAGTTATTTAGCTAAAAAAACAACTGTACGTTATAAAGATCCAAACAAACAACCACCAGATTATAATGTTAAATATGAAACATTTTTTGCCTTACGACAAAATGTGCCTACATTAAATTGGTTAACATAAGTTTTTTTTTATGCCTTGAGAATAATTGAAAAACCCTTATTTTTTACTTTTAAAATAATGTGAAATTTTCTTCTTTTTTTTTTTATTTTGAAAAAAAAACGAAACTTTTAAACAGCTGCACCGGGTAATAAAAGACATATGACACTAATATTTGTTTTTGATTGTGCTAAAAGTGCTGCTGATACAAGACGTTCAGCAATTGTTTGTGCTAATTCAAGACGAAGACGATATTGTGATGAAAGAGAATTCCATATTTCTTGATGAATTTCATCTTCTGAACATTGTACTGCACGATTACGTGTAGATAATAAATTATTTGTATCATTTTCATTTTCTTCTTCAATTAAATATACCATTTCATTTATACAATCAACAATAATATTATCCTCATTTGTTAAATAAGGAGTATGTATGGAATTTCCATATTTTTCAAGTACAGATCGAAGTGCTGTTTCAATACGACTAGGTGCTGGCATATGATGTGCTGGTAAACACTATTTTAATAGAAAAATAAATTCTTTGAAAATGAAAAATATTTTTTTTTTTTTTTTTGTTTTGTTACTTGTGTAACAATGTCAACAACAACATCATATTGAAGTACTTGCCATAGACCTTCAGTTGCTAATATAATACATTCTAATGATGGATCAATTTCATATGACCAAACATAAGGTGAATTTATAACACATTTTTTTATATCTTTATCACCATGATTACCTAATCCACGTGTTGTTTCAAGTATACCAGCGATTAAATCATTGTTACTTATTTTAATACCTAAATTGTATATTAATGTAAACTAATGAATGTTTTATTTTTTTTAATAAAAATTCTACCTGTTTCTAATACTCTTTCACGTTCACGATTATTAATTAATGTATGTTTTTGTGACATTAAAAAAGCTTCACCAGCTCGAATACCTAATGCTTCAACATTTCCTTTAAAAAAGAAAAACCAAAGTAAAACTATTTTTTCTAAAAACAAAAAATAAATCTTACCACAATTAGCTACATGAATATGACCAAGTACAATATGATCTTGTTTTTCATCATCATTATCATTTTCTAAATCAACTAATAATTCTTCAATTTTATCATTAGCTACAATTACAGCTGTAAATGCTGATGTACCACTCCAACGAACACTTGATGTTTCATGAATACCACGTGATAAAAGATGATCCATTTTTAAATAAGCCAAACGATATACATCACCGATATTTTTTATATGACAATGATCACTTGATGGATCGATCATACTTGTATAAAGACGATTTATAAGAGTTTGTTCAGCTTCAGAACTATTCATATCATTTATTAATTTAGACATTTCCATTAGAATTGCTTCATGAAGATGTTCACGACATAATGAACTAGCTGCTTTTCCATTGTAACCATCGAATAAACCAATATAAGCAAATTTTTCTTTGCCACCTAAAATTAGATGAGCATTAAAATTCTGCTTTCGTAATGAACTAGGGTTTCTTTTTTTTTTTAGAAAGAATACTTCTTTTATTTACAAAATATTTTATCCTTCTCAATATGTTATTCAGAAAAGAATGCATTTTTCCACTAGAAGGTCAGATCATGTTTTTTGACAACAGAAAATTATTGTATTTTTTTTTTGAAAGAAATAATTTTTAAATACTGATTAGTCTTGGCACTTTTTTTTCTTCTCTCATCTCATTATATGCTATTCTATAAACATTTTTGAAGTATAATAAGTCGTTAAAAGAAAAATTGAACTGTCATAGAACAGATTTGAAACTTACAAATACTAATACTTAATTCAAATGATCATAAATATTATGAACATTATACATAAACATGTTCGGTTCTCAATTTAAGTATTCACATTAGAATTTATGAAAGATTTCTTATGTTGAAAATTTAGCTTCTCAAATATGAAATTAACAACTTTTATTTTTCTAGAGAAATAAAACACTGTTGAATAAATTCTTTCAATTAATTTTTTTGGAATCAAATTACTGAGAAAGAGAATCTCTTCAGATGTCAAATCATCTCGATTGAAAAGCAATTTTACACCTGGAGCGATTCCTCTTAATAGAATTCGTGTTAATAAACAAAAACAAAATATAAGCATAAAGCATAAGACGAAGATAGCAAGTGATGCATACTTGTTTTATATTGGTGTATACGACACACGCGTGCACCAGGTTTCTATAAGAAAGTAGCATGTGAGTTAATATTAAAATAGTATTTTGAATCTAAGAGTTAGATAAAAATAAATAGCAAAATTTTTTTTTCCTTATATATATATTTTTTTTGTTTTGTTTTTCATACCAAAACAATCAATAAATCTCATTGTATCTTCCATATCAATTCTATATTGTTTATTTTGACTAGTACACATACCAATACTAAGAAATAGTCGATTACGTGGTGTAAAACTTATACCTAAGATAATTATTATTATCTATAAATAAATAGTTTATAAAAGAAAATAAACATTACCCTGTAAATAGGATGCTTCACGATTATCATATATACATGAATTATCACCATAATAATAAGGTTCAATAGCTCGTTTTATAATTTGAAATGCATCATTAATAGTTTTAACAGTTTTTAAATACGATTCTTCGGATATTTTTAAACGTTGCATACGTTGAATAAGTAAATCTCGTCGTTTAAGTATGATATCTATTTTATTTGGAACTTCCTTTTATATAAAATATTTATTTACATAAAAAAAAAAAATTAGTATTGTTTTTTTGTTTTTTTTTTACTTTGAATTTAAATAATTTTAATGCATTATGATAAGTTGTATGTGTTTTTAATTCACTAACATTTAAAAAACATTGACATATGTCACATAATATAGTTATATCTGGTTTTGTATAATCAATTATATGACCAAGAGCACAAGTAGCTAGAAAAAGAATTGAAATAAATATTAAAAATTAATTTATAGAGAATTCTTACTATGACCACGTTGAGTTGGTGTAGAAGAAAAATTATGAAGTGATTCTTCTTTTTGTAATCCTGATTCTGATTCTGAATCAAACATTTCTGAAAATGCAAATAGAAAGAAAACAAAAAAAGGTTTCTAATCAATTTTCTAGCAAATTTATTAAACAGAAAAAAAAACAATCATTCTATAATATCATGACTTGCACGAAATTTTTGAAGATCATAAGGTATAAAAGTTATAGATAATAAATCTTGAAGTTTATACATTTTTGATTCATTTTTTATATGTATTAGATAAACATCTAAATCAAGATCAAATTCAGCTAATGTTTGTCGACATGAACCAGTAAAACCTATTTCAACATCACTACAGAAAAATAATTATGTATTTACGATATCTTTTTTTTCTGTCTTTTTGATGATCAACTTACGATGTAATTGCAATTTTTCAAAAAAATTTTTCACCTAGGAATACAGCTTTAACAATAGCTATATACGTTCAGCACAAGTTGATAATGGATATGAAACATTTTTAACTTTACATCAAGAATATATTATTCCAGTTGATGTGAATAAAGCTGTTCCTACTCTATTCAGTTAAAACGAAAAATGAAAATACATATATCATAGAAATATTTTTGAAATCATACCGAAATTATGAATAAGGAGAATAAACTCTATATTGAGTCAAACGGGCTTCATCAAATAATTCTAAAAAGTTTTTTTTACAATAGTAATAATTTGTTTTTATTTAAAAATAAGTGATCCTTTTCAAATGTTATGTTTCTAAGAAACGCAATCGTTTCTTTTTTTTTTGAAGTATTTTTTTTATTCGATTCTATTGAATATAAAATTAACCAATAAAATATTCTCAATGAATCAAATATTCTAATGTAATATGATAAAGAATATTGTATTTTTTAAAAAATGCTAAAATACAATTTAAAGTTTACATAGTGATCTAATTGATAGGGTAGATCAAAGAGTGTGGGTGTCACGATGTACTTAATCTTTAGAAGTACTGATTTCAGTCTCGGCGGAATCGGGACTAATTTTTGTTTTTTATGAGAATCAGGAGCAAATTCGCTTTTTGACCGATACCAGGACCAACACTTTTTCATTGGGAACGATACATTTTATGGTTTTGTAAAACTTACGTTGAATGTCATTTTGTTACGACTCATGCATTATAAATAGATATGACCAAGATGATCTTGGTTTCGTTCGAACCGAAAACGACTGGTCTCGCTCATGTCTATAAATAATGCATGCAGATTTTGAAAAATATCACTCTATCGCGGTAACGAAGATTTTATTTGTTGCTCTACACTAATTGTGAACGAGATATAATAGATGTTACGTAATCTATTTCTCTTCAAAAGAGGAATGTGAATAATGTTTATTTATAAAGAAAAACATCGATATATATATGTTGTGGTCAAAATTAAAATTCAGTCAAATTTAAAATTTGCCTGGTCAAAATTGAATTTTTAATTTCGTCTAGGCAAAATTGAAATTTTTTTTGATGAACAGTAGAAAATAAAAGAAGAGAAAGTTAATATACTAACCAATTTGTTTTTATTTTTCAATAGTTTTAAACAAATATCTTATGAATTCTAAATTAATTTAGTCTATCTTAGGTGAATAAATCCGATACCGGATTCGACCAGTCAACAAAATTCTATGGGAATCCGAATTACGGAATCACTAACGGATCCGATGGGCGAGTCCTATTTTATTAGTTGAGTACTAATTAGCATCTTATCCAAATAGTAGAGATCAGTTAGAGTCGTGCGCTGGGATTCAATCGGATTCCGATACTACGATCCGATCAGATTCAACACTTGGAATCCGGATGTCATTCCGTAATCCAGATTCCCATAGGATTTCGTCGATTTTATAGAAATTCCAATATAATCTGATCGGATCCAACAGGGATCTGCTAGGATTCAATTGTCCGAATCATTCTCTTGGGATGTTTGAGCATTCACTCCTTTTTGAATGACACTTGGTAGAGCAGAAGAGATTTTTTTCTGATGGGCATATTTTCGCCTCACTTTTGTCTCGAAAACTACAAGTATGTTCGGGTGTGGAACCACGAGAATAAAGCTTTCAAGATTCGATAATGATAACTCGTTTTAGATTATTAACATTTCAATATTTGAATTGATTGGAACAAGCAACTTTTAAATCCAGGAATGGTTTGCCTACAAATGTAGGTTCTCAAGCTCCACATAGACACATTAATTTTCATAAAAACATTCTTTTTTTTCAATTTTACCAAAAATGACACATAGTTTCAAAGCTTTATTCTTGTGGTTCCACAGCCGAACATAATTGTAATTTTTGAGACAAATGTGCGGCGAAGACATGCCCATGAAAAAAACCTTTTCTGCTGTGCCAAATGTCATTCAAAGAGGAGTGAATGCTCAAACATGAACTAAATTAATTTAGAATTCATAAAATATTTGTTTAAAACTATTGTAAAATAAAAACAAATTGGTTAGTATGTTAATTTTTTCTTTTTTTATTTTCTACTGTTCATCAAAAAAAATTTCAATGTTGTCTAGTCAAAATTCAAATTTTAATTTTGACTGAGATTATTTTGGGCAAAAATAAAATTTCAATTTTGACCAGGCAAATTTTAAATTTGACTGAATTTTAATTTTGACCACAACATATATATGTTTAGAGAAAAGAATAGAAACAAAGGTTATCAAGGTCAGAAACATAGATGATGAGATTATATCAGACGAAACATATATCACGAACAAGAGAAGATAATACCTATAGAAAGAAAACAATAAAAAAGTAAAAAGATGATATCGAACGTAATGTATGTATATGAGCGACCTCGATTAAGTCACTGTAGCACTAATAAACTACGAATGTCAAAAGTTGATTATCTTGTAAATACAATCTATAGTTTGGTGGCAATTATTTCATAAGAAAATGAAGAAGAACGATTGTATTGTTATCTTGACTATGAGGGTTCATTTTATATCACTCATAAAAATAAATCTCAATACGCACAGTATGCCTTTTCACATTTCATAAGCTCGACCGTTCATTATTTTTGTCTCTATCTTTTCGTTTCAAATATGACTATGATAAATTAGCTTCAATCTAAATAAAAGACACTAGAAGATAGAAATGTGTAGGATAAGCATTTTTCGTATCCTTACTCTACCCTACGAAGTTGGTTTCGGTGACCAGAATTTTGACAATGGCGCAAGCATATTGTAGTTTCGCAAGTTGTCATAAAACAATATTAATAAAGGATACATGTGAGAGCTGAAGCTAATATCAATGTAGTCGACAGGAATCTTTTTAATCGATATCGAATTCACAGTCAAGTGGATGGCGAAGCTTCGGAATTCTTTTATTTCATCTTCTCCATTCAACCTACTTGAGCTGGAAGAATATTATTATTTCAAATCTTGTTGCTATTCTTCAAGAACTCAGAACATTTATTGATAGAATTGAATAACTTAGTATCTTGAAGTTCAACCGATGGCAAAATATGAACAATCTTTTTTTTCTGTTTATACTTATGAATGAATACGAATAAGCCCGTATAACTTATCTATTTATCAATATATACAATCGCGAAAAAACAAAGAATTTCTTTATATATGATTGCATACCAACAAACATATACACTTGAAACGAAAAAAAGAAAATACAGATTAATACAACTGTTATTTATCACATAGAGGAAAAAAACAAAAAAAAATGGAAAATAATCGACACACTTAACTAAAATTCGATAGACTAGATAAATAAAAATGAGAAACAAAAAAACGACAAATTCAACATAATGTCAAATGTAATTTTTTGATAATAAAATTTATAGTTTTTCAATTGATGCTGGATTATAAACATTAGGTTTTGCTGTATTACGAATTATACGTGGTGATATACCTCTTGATGGTGCTTCTTTTGATTGAAATGTACTAACAACTAACTGATCATGTAAACTTGTTTTTCGATATGTTGATAAAGATGTATCAATTGATGAATTATAATTTGAAAATGTATAAGATTGAGATGTTGGTGATATTGATTGATATGTTGTAGAATTTACAGTTGATAATGTTTGAGCAGTTGATGTTGTTAATAATTTTGGTATATTAAAACAAGCTCGACGTATTAAATGACGAGAATTTGATTTAGATGGACGTACTGTACCAGGTTTAGAAAGTTCAGCTAAGAATTAAATTAAAAAGAAAATTTACTTGATGTATTCATAAGAAATATTGAAGTGAATAAAAATCTTTGTTTTTTTTTTCTTTAAGAAGATTCGATTAGTAAGTTTCGAGAGAATTTCATTAAAATAGAAAACAAAATTATATTTATCTATGTCTGAAAAAAAATTTTCCTACATATAAGCGTCATAGCAATGATTATATAGTAATCATATTGAGAATTTACTCTAGATAATGAAGCTATCATAAGAAAAAAAAACTTGTAATAAAATTAAAAAGAAAAGTGCATTAGTATAGAGAGAGAGAGAGAGAGAAAGCAAAATTTTTGCCCATAAATTTGAATAATAAATGAAATAATATTTAGTATATTTCTATGATTTTAGTATAATCAAATTGTTAATTTAGAATATTGAGCTATTAACTTACCTATTTATGTTTCTCTCTAGATATTAAAATAGAACAACAGAAATATTTGTTTTTATAGCTCTAAGAGGTTCATAAATTATGAAATTCCCTAGGAGACAAGAATTTCTGAAAATACGACTTCCGTTTGAGTGTTTTTCGTATTCATTCAGTTTTATCAACTAGAAAGTATTTCCGACGAGTCAAAAGCTATGATTTTGTGCTCGAGCTTAGAAATTTGTTCAAGAATAGTGAAATAATCTTTGAAAACCCTAAAAACCTAATTTAGACGGAAATTTTTTTTTATTTTCACTATTGCAATTCGAAACTAAATGTTAGAGTCTTTATTTATATATCATATTGTAGATTAAAAGCTACCCTACAAAATGCACTACTTTTGTTTCTCCACAAGGCATCTCAGTTTTCGTTTTCCCAAAATACTCATTTTTGAAAAATCGACAATCGTTTTACGTTGAAAGAAAATTTTGAGAAAATGCTTGTAAACTCACTTGAATAAAAGCAACAGCTTACGATGGATCCTCTATTAAGATTTAACTAAGCTATCGAATTGTTTTTCGAGAAGTTCCTGATTTTTGAATTTTAATCTAAAACTTTGTGCATATAGAGATCTCAATTATTTTTTTTAAAATTCAGAAATTTTGAATAAAATCTCTTCGAGATATAGATCCTTTTCCACGAATAGTGTATACAACAAGCATTTTTTGAAAATTTCATGTCTCGAAGAAACTTTGTTCAAAACTTTTAAATTTTTTTAAAAGATAGCTGAGTTCTCTATATGCGAAAAGTTTCAGATCAAAATTCAAAATTCAGAGTCTCTAGAAAAAAATTCGATAGCTTACTTAAATCTCAATATAAATTCAGTTTTTATTAGAAGATTATATAGTATCTATAGGTGGAAAATCATTGAAACCGGAAGGGACAGCTGTAGAGATTCCTTCTGTTAGTTGAATATCACATTTTGTAAGAGAAGTATTCACTCTACGAAACGACCGACGTCGACAATTTTTAACATGTTTGAAAAGTGACTTATAGGGTAAGCAAAAATCTGTTGACAGCTCATCATTACAAATTACTTTTCAGGTCTTTCAAGATTTTTCTCATTACTCTTGAACAAAAATAGACACAACATTTCGAAGCCCATATTCGAAAAGATCACAAAATTCTTGTCCTAAATCATAGCTTTTGACATTTTCTAGCGGGTCACAAGTGAACAAACATCTTGTCTAAAAATGTTTGCATGTTTTCCAAATGTAAAAGTTACCTTTTTTTTTCAGCGTCTCCACACATCTTTTATGATGAGATTACCTTGTTTTGATCGTTTCTGAAAGGACGTAAAAACGCTCAGGCCGGAATGTATGATTAAAGTGTTTTAATGCATTTTCAGAAGTTCTTGTCTGTTTAAATATTCTTTTTTTCTTTCTATTATTTACCTAAATGCATAGCATAACCATCAATAATAAAAGATGCTTGTCCTTGAAAACGACTTTTTATTTTTCCAACAACAAATATTCTTTCTGCTGGTACATGAATTAATTGATAAGCTGGAATATCTTTTGTTGAACCATATGCAGCAGCAATAACTAAGTTAGCATTTTCAACAACATTTCGTATCATTTCAGCTTTATGTTTAATTGGTTCACGACTTATACCATCATTAAATAATGTTAAACCTATATGAATTAAAATTTTAGAAAAAAGAAAATTAATCTTATTCGTTTTATTTTTCTTTTCAAACCGTGAGGAAAATTATGTTGAGCAAGCCAATGAATTACTCGACGTTGTTGAATATCAGGACGTGCAGTTACATATATAATAATATAACCAAGTTCTTGCCAATATCTTTATAATTAAAATGAGATTTTTCTTTTTTTTTTTTTGTAAAATAAAATTTTATTTGATTTACCTAACAACATCGACAGCACCGGGACGTACTTTGGGATTATGATGACTAACAGAAAAACTCGACGTGAATGAACCATCAATACTAAATAGAACTGCTTCACTTTTTGGTGGTAATACAGTTAAATAAAGATCAACTGTTGTATGATCACCACTAGACAAAAACAAAATAAATTTAAAAGTATAATATATATTAGTAATTCTATATAGTATGTTTTTTAGCGGATGACATGTGTATATTTATACTGAATTCTCAAGAGAAAATTTTGTTCTAGGAAATCAAAAATGTCACGATGTTTAGTTAACTGTCTAATACGAAAGTATTATATCAAGCGACCAGAATGCTATTAATACTAATCAGATTCTTATCGATTTCTATAATTCCAGATATAGCCTTTTCTTAACAAATATAATATGAATTTCTATAGATATACAATGAATACCACAATTATTCAACAGAGTTTGTTTTCAATTTTTTTTCGTTGTCTGAAACTTTCCAAAGAATCTAAATAGAGTTTTGAGTAGAGAAAATTGTTTCGAACAAGAATATAAGAGAATAATATTTATTATCAGATTTTTAAAGGTAGAATCTTCAGAAAACCAAAGCTCTAGTTTTTCAATACATAGAGAGCATAAATAGAATTTTGTTTAGACTGTATAGAATGATAGAATAAACAATTCTCTACAAAAACAGAATTGTGGCAATGAAAATTCGAAAAGTAGTTATTTAACGTTTAAATAATAGATAACGCATCATAATTGGAA